CTCGTGTAAATTATTATAATTATAACTTACTCGTGTAAATTATTATAATTATAACTTACTCGTGTAAATTATTATAACTTACTCGTGTATATAATAACCTGGTCCAATATCCAGATACAATAGCAATTACGGTTACGGCACTTACAAATTTCTACCTTTTTTTCTTTCTCAAATTAATTAAAGCCGAAACTGGTAAAATAGATTACAACACACAAATTTCTCAAACGTCACCAATAATCGAAGGAAAGAAAACTGATAACAGTATAGTAGGTCATGGTAAGAGAAAGTTTCTCTTTTGTTTTAAAGGTTGATTCTTTTATTCAAAATTGAATACTTGAAATTTATTTTGGGGAGGATTAGATATAACAAAAAATAGATCATCTAAAAAAAGTGTGGATATTTTTTCTTTATATATTTATTTTATTTCGCTTTTTTTAATTAGTGCGGTTTGAATTGTAACCAATATGAGAAGGTGGTTGTTGGGATGGAAAATAAGAAATTTGTTTTTTGTTGTGAACATTATTAACATTAAAAAAAAAAAAATTTTATTATATAAACATTTGTTATTTATAATTATATATATATATATATGTAGACCATATAGATAGATGTATTAAGAAAAGATATCTACACTTTAAATTTATAGAAATTTTTTCGTTTTTATTTATTGACAGGTATTAATTTGCTTGAATAAAAACATCAAATTTTTAATAGAAAAATCTTTATGGGTTTTATTCGTGTTGGGTGATAATAGTTAGCAATTTAGATACCAATAATACTATACTATGTTATATGTTTTATATTTATTCCTTTTTTTATGTTTTGTATGTTGGTTTAAATTATAGGTTCGTTTCCTTTACGTAGTTCACATAAACAGAGTGACAATGTTGATAATGTAGAGATAGGAGAACCTGGCCCATCAACTTTTAGACGACCAATACAGCACATTCCACTTTCTCCAAAAGCATGTAAGATTCATTATATGCTAATAATATCATTTCGAAAAAAAATATATACTTTTTTAATATAAATACTAATTTTAATTTCTATATTAAGTTTTATATAGCGATCATTGTAAATCATTATTTTTAAAAAATAAATGGAAATTACATTCACAACCATGTTATGCCGCTTATCATGCAAGAATTGGTGATACAAAAGGTATAAGATGGCATGTTGAACAATTTGGAGATTGGGTATTAAATGCTGTACAAGAAGTTAGCGGACCTAGAAATAGGTAATTTTAACAATTAAATATAAATTAATTAACTAATTTATTAGTTAATAATAATCAAAATAAAATCAATTAACATTCATTAATATCATAATTATTATAGTTATAGGAGGCCTCTGGAAGCGTTACCAATAGAAGCGATAATGTATTGTCCAGCACCAAAATTATTACCAACATTAATATATTTAAAAAAATTAGGATCGGATTTAAATTGTATTGATTCATATACAGGAGGAACATGTATAAATTTTTTATCAAATAATATATCACTTTTAACAACATCATTTAAATCCAATGAATATTCACCTTATAATCCAAAAACTTTTAATTATATTAATACTCAAGGAATTTATTTTAAAAAAGTTTTATTATATTTATTAGAAGAAGGTTTAAATATAAATTCTCAAACTTCTAATGGTGATACTTTATTATCTTCTTTATTATTTAAATGGCATCCAAAATTACCTCCTTCTATAATAGAATTTTTAATTGATCAAGGTGCTAATCCTAATTTAGAAAATTTAAGAGGTGGTAATCCTTTAGGTTATACTTTATTAGCTACAAGATTTGAAAATGGTGGTGGTCCATTTAAAAAAGTTTTAAAAATTTTAAAACTTTTATTAAAAGGTGGTGGTAATTGTAATAATGAAATTACTATACCTGGTAGAAAATTAAGAAATTTAGGTTGGGTTTGTGTTGATATTAGTGTTAATTTAACTAAATATCAACAAAAAACTTTGGTCGAAACTTTAATTGAATGGGGTTGTGAATTTGGTACTTGGGATGATGATTTTAATAAGAAAAGAAAAAAGAAAAATAGAATGGCGAGTGAAGAAAGTGGAATTTTTGGAAAGTTATATGCTGATGAATTGAAAAAAATTGAAAGTGATGAGAAAGGAAAACATCAAGAAAATGATGATGAAAGTGATGACGATGATGATGATGATTTAGATGTGAAAAGTGATAAAGAAGCTGATGAAAAAGCTGATGAAACTAAAGGTGCTGGTGTTGGAGGTCTATCTGGAACGAATACTGGAAGTGGTATATTGAATGCTGATTATAGTGAAGAAATTGATGCAATTTATGATGAAATTGATGATGATGGTAATGAATCACCCGTCTTACCATCCGGCCAAGGTGGTGGAAGTTTATTAACTAAAAGGTTAAAAGGTAAAAATTTAAAATTTAATAATACACCTATAAGAATACCTCCATTATTCTCTAGTCCACCTACTTCTCCATTACCGCCAACCTCTTCACTTCCACCAATACCTTCGCAAAAACCTACGGGACAACGTGGAACTTTCACTGCACGTGATGTTCCTGTATCAATATTAAGGCCATTATCATTATCAAAAAATAAAATTACTCCAAAAGGATCAACTCGTACTCGTTCTGGTCCAATGCATAGATTATCATTATTTTTTAATCCATCACCTACAACACCATCATTTAAACCAAACAATCCACCAAACATTTTAGTTTACGCGGTTCAATTAAATCAAATTGAAATGATAAAAATTCTTTTAAAAAGAATTTATGAACTTAGTGAACCAAGAAGTATAATAGCTGCATTAAAAGAATGTGGTGTACATTTTAATAAAAAATATAGTGATGATGGAAAAGATGATGATTTTGATGAAGTTATAATACCAAAAGAAAAATATGGTTTCTTTGAACATTTTTTTAAATCTCATGATGGTAAATATGAGATAAGAAAATATTTAATGACTTGGTATGGTAAACAAGGTGCCTTAAAAAGAAAAAAGACATTGATGAGAATCGAAAAAATGAAACAGAAATGGTCAAATAAAGCAAAAAAAGGTTATTTTTCTACTAGAGGTATTGATGCTGAATTTATTATGCTCGGAACTGATGGTGAAGATGTCAATAATGATTATAATGATTATGATGATTATGACGATGATGATGAAAAAGATGATGAATTCATTGATGATGAAAAAGATGATGAGTTCATTGATGATGAAAAAGATGATGAGTTCATTGATGATGAAAAAGATGATGAAGAAAGTGAAAATGATTTTATTAATGATGATGTAGAAAATAGTGTAGAAAGTCTGGATAAATCAAGCGATTTAGAATTATTTGATGCTGAAGAAAAAGAAGAAAGTTTAAATGTCATTTAATTTTAGATCTAGATCTTTTCTGTTAATAAATTTATAAATATGGAAATATATGTGTTTTTAGAATGTGGTGATTGTTGTAAATTTGGATTTTTATAAAACTTTTCATATTTATTTGTATTCTTTTATTAATTCGTGTCTTCATTATTATATATCAATTTTTATATTTTCTCCAGATGTATTTTACACATTCAATGCATGAAAATTTTATTATAATCAACATCATTTATCTAAAATTTTTTAAAGATTAAAAGAACTTGCAAAAGTTAAAATTCTTGAGTAATGCTTTCAGTTTACAGTAATCGTCATACAATGCACGCACGTCTATATTCATTATTAATTTTTAAATCTCAACTTTCTTAAATTCATTCGCGTACGAAGTTCCATTGTATTTTAGCGGATAACAATTTCCTATTATTTATGTATAATAAATACTTGAGATATTATTTAGCGTTATAATTAAGCGATAGGTTAAATGTCGTGCGTGATACTGTGATTAGAGAAGGCTAATGCGCATTCATGAACTTTTCACATCAATTTTTGCATAATATTTAATTTGTCATTTCGATGCTAAAGAGTTTTCAATGCGGTTTTTGTTCGTGTGCATATTTATACTTATTTATTATATATATCAAAAGAAATATTATAAAGAGTCATCTTTTTGCTATTGTAATTGCATTTTTAGTCACGGTTCTTCGTTTCTCACGATTCCTTTTTTGTTTTTTAAGATGAAAGTATGCGTGTACATGATTGGCCATTGAAAGACAAAGCTCAATAAGTATCCGTAAGATGTGAGTAGGCATACTGTATTTGAGATTGTGTTAAGGTTATGCTTGAGTATAGGTTCTCGTGTATCTTTAGAAGGAATCCCATTCAACACGCCATTGATTACTGCGGATATTTTTGATGTATAAGATGCATTAAAGTTGACCTTTTCGTGATTCATCTCTTATATATATATTCATTCTAATGACATTAATTGCCTGTAGGTTATGGGTTTTTATCGGAAAATTCGCATTTCGTGAAAACGCCTAACGAAGCAGGAATCGTAAATAAAAATTTCTGTGGCATCTTATTTATAAATTGTAATTTGACTCATAATATCGTGCGCTCATATGAATGAATCTCTCCAAAGATGAATAGAAGTATAAGCAAAGTAGATTTATCATTAGCGCCATTTTTTGTTTATCGGATGACAACTCATTCCTTCTGATTGAATGAATGAGTGAATGATATTTTGAGATATTTTAAGATTAGAATATTGAGTATTAGTACTTCTTAGCATTGAGAACCGGTTATATATTTTATTAGAACAAAAGTTTATATGATCTATTTCGACAGCTGAATTAATAAATACTAAGTATAATTAGCTACCGTGTTAGGAGGGTTTTAGAGAAAAGGATAAAAGGATGAAGAAGTCTTCAATTAATACCAAATCACCAATTCAGTACTGCCAGGTTACGAAGGATAAAACAATACGGTTTTCACAAGTCTAGGTGTGTAATTTCTACATACTGCACAGAATGAGATTCTTCTTTTAAATCTTTTTAAAAGTATTTAAAATATTAGTGATTACGATGGAACTAATCTAATTGTAATGGCATAACATATACTGTAATAGTGCTAAATCCAAGGAGTAAATTACGTACGTATATTCAAAGCAGTGTTTCAATCTTATTCTTCAAGTTAGAGTTTGGAGCCGGTTTTATTTTTCATATGTTAAACCCGGTTTCAAGCTGTAATTCGGATTTTCTTTATTCTATCCGGCTGATCGAATCGGATTAATTCATAAATTCTTGGTCACATGATAAAAATTAGCAGGATACTTTCAAAGCAACTTCGCTAGCAAATAATTAAAAAAAAGAATTTAGAAAGCATTGTAACGATTAATTTTCTCTGTGTCTCATCACTTCCGTATTTGTCTAATTCTTTAAGTTGTCATTTACCTTCCATAATTTTACTATCATAGTCATATTAATCTTACCTTAGTGGTATTAGGCATTATTATGTATTCTTGGTGACTTAATTCATGCAAGAGCGTTTACGTTCAAAATGCATATACGCGATAGCATAAATTTGTAATCATTACGCCTTAAGCAAATGGGGAATCTACAGCGTAAGCGTTGAGATCTCTATGTTGACAATCTGTAAAATTAGAATGTATATAAGAGTGTGTCTTCATCATTAGAAGAGGATAACATTCGCTCTCTCAAATTCCTCAATAAATAAAGGTCATATATATTCACATTCTTTTTATAATAAATGCCTAATAAATGAAAATCCGAATACCATAATTTATTACCCAAATCATGTGACCCTTCTAATGTCAACCATCGGAGTTAAACTCGGCATGACAATACCAACCTCTCCCTTACGATGGTTACAGCATGTATTAAGTCTATTAGGAGCCTTTTTATTTGGCACTGAACCATTCTATGCGACAATTAAACATTTATTATATGGTTTATTAATTAAATAATCATTATTAGTGTTCTGAAGTTCAAGTTCGGTTCAATTAGGTTCGGGTTCAGGTTCGACCGAGCTCGAACTGAACTTTAAATTTTGTAGATCTTTGAACTCGGACTTAGAATGAACTCGAACTGAACTTGAACTTGAAATATTGGTTCAGTCTGAGTTCAGTTCAAAGTTCATGAACATGTTCGGGTTTAATTAATAATTAGGCGACTTGAAATTAAAACCTCGTTTAACGTTATTTTTTTTTTAAATTTGTATGGGGGGAGGAAAAATTAAACAAACAATAAAATTAAACTAGGTTCAAATGAACCAAATTTAGGTTCATCGAAACCTAATCCGGACCTAATGATGATTAACTAATTTATTTTTATTTTCTTAAACAGAATTTATTTCAACTAACCATTTTAACTCTTATTATTAATAAAGAATAATGTTAACAATTAAATTGTTAGCATCACGTCTTTTCGATCTGTTGACTTACTGTCAACTTGAACGACACATACTTTTAATTTTTAATTTTTTTTTACTTTGTTAATTGTTTAATTTTTGGGGAGACCCATAAGTGGAGGGGGAAATAACATTAATTTCAAGTCGCCTTAATTAACCTCAATTACATAAAGATAATAATAACTCCAATGCAAACTGACCTATCGGAATAGCAAGTTCTGTAATAGATATTTGATAATTCTAATTCAAACTAACTCGCAGTGATACGGTCACTGGAATACATGTGACCCTCATTAATATCAACCCATTTGAATTGGTTTTAAATCATGTTGATAGTGATATTAATGAGGAATCATATTAAAGTTGATATCTGTGAGGGAATTTTGATATATAAAAGTTTATAAAAATTTGGTTTGTAGCTTAGATTGATATTAACGAAGGTCACGTGTATCAAATAACAAAATTTGATAGTAACTTCGAATAGAAATAAGTTTTTACAGTAATTCATAATAGAAATAATACATGTGTAACTGAGTTAGCGAGTAAGTTCTGTAAAGAATATTTTCAATAATTTATGATTGAATTATGATTATTTTAATACAAACTAACTCAACCACAACCATATACCAGAGAGCGAATATATCGTAACAGAATTTTTTTACAATAACTCATAAGAGAAATCATGATAATTCTAATGCAAACTTACTTAACTACGTCTGTAGTGAGAATAGTAGTGTTCCGCAATCGATCTGGATTCGATCCGCAAATCTATTTCAAATGACTTCCCAGCATCACCTGAAAAATTCATTATCACGCGATATTCGAAAAATCCTTTAAAGTTCATTTAGATTAGGGTTAGGGTCTATGTTAAGGTTAGTGTTAGAGGAGTGTTAATAGTAAAAATCGCTCAAGAAAAACTTTTGTCAATGCACAAAAGGTGGTTTCTTATGCAAAATTTTGAGAAATAAGCGATTTTTGACAATCCGAACGTTTGTTTTGAATTTTCTATGTTGCACCAAATCATAGATCATTATTGGCTAATTGACCGTCGAACATCACGTGATAGTAACATTTTTCAAATTGGTACCTTTTATAGTTTAGATAATAAATCTAATATCGATATTGAAATACTTTGGTTATTTCGAATCCCATAATTCACAAATCCTGCGGAAATCCAAAGAGAGATTCGATCGAATAATATTCGATTTAGTCCATTATTTTTACTAAAATACACAAACGCCAAAACTCTGATTTCTTGTGATCTTTTTTTTGGAATTTTATTGATCTTTTTTGTTTTTTTGAAAAGCGTATTAAATACTACTATTCAAACTCATTGAGCTAATAGTGCCAGATATCGAACTTCATTGAATAAATGAATGTGCAGCATATATTAATAGAATTGTGCGCGTGTTAAGAAGATTCAGATGCAAAACTTGCTTCTTGTGGACTGTAGCGCGTTTATTTCTTATCGTTATGCTTGTTTTCTGAAATGAGGTTATGATCAGTACATAATTGGATCAAGTTCTAAATTAAGCAGTTAATTAAATATACTTACCGTATAAGCGCAAAATACGTAACGCTCGTGGGCGTTATTTTGAAAATTGGTGCTTCAAAAATAACTTATATAGTTTCGAATTAGTGCTCATGAGTAGTGATGTGCCACGTACAGTACTATACGTACTGTACTGTACATACTGTACATACTGTACGCTAAAATTTTTGCCGATCATTTATTAAGAGGGCCTGATATGCCAATTGACCAATCAAATTTGTTAATTGATCAACACAGATAATTCCCGAAGAAGCATTCTTATTAGATAAATTAAACTTGTACATAT